AAAGTTTACTTGGGCTGAAAGTTGTGCCTTTGTAACCGACGTCTTTATTGACGCAGCGACAGTATTTTCTTTGGGAACACTATGGCCACAGCGAAGGCAAGCTGAATTGGACTTGACAGTGCATCGATTGTGCAACAAGTCACAAATATTGAAAGAGAATGGTTTCAAAGATGAAAACGAAGCGTGGAGATACGTTCTTTTAACGGTAAGGGCGAATGCAGGCGATGGATTGATTAAAAGCGCGTTTACAGGGACCGCGGAGCAGGAAGGGGGTTGGCTACAAACGCCCAATAATTTTTTCGAAGTCTTGGTACTGGATAGATGGTATATTTTTATTTACTAAGCTTAGGATTTTGTCAAGAATGTGCACAAGAAAATGTATTACAAATATTTGAATTTTTGACCTGAAATTATAATCCAAATATATATCACCTTGTAAATTTGCCATTTGAATTTGCCATATTAATGCCTATATGTGTGATCTTTATTTCAAACCATCTGAACCAACAGCTATTATCATGGACACTCCTGTCAACCTGTCCAATTACATGATCTGAAATGCACATTCTGAACTGATGAATTGAATTTATGAATTACAATTTTTTCATGAGTTTGGCAACAAAAAAATCATGATGTCATTCCTTTGAGTCATGTATATTAGTGAGAAAATGCAAAAGAGAATATGGGCTATCAATAGATTAAAGGAAATAGTTTCAGATGTTTTACCTGTATTTGTTAATATTTCATGAGGATTGAAAATGCATTTTCAGTTACAAGATATTGCCATACTTCCAAATTTGTCTGACCCACGAGTAAACACAGCCCAATGTGTGGTAGTTGGTCATGAAGGAGATGATGAACAACCAATTGAAACTCCTGCAGACTGGTACAATTGGAGAGGCTGCAAGATAGCTGTTGCTTCTATCCCATTTGCAATTGCCATTTACTGGTTTGCAAAAATATTGTTTGATAAGCCAGTCAACAGTTTGTTGTCAAAAACATCTTTAGTTCTAACCTTGATTTGTTTCATATTGATGATTGTTGAATTTATATGTTACCTGATTTTATTTATCATTTCTAAAACACATGTCTGTCATTCATGGCCCATCATCCTTTATATTTTATCATGCACCATATTCTTGATTATTCCTCCAATCTTCAACATTGAATGCATACAAAATATATGTGAAGGAAATCCAAGTGAAGACCATGCCAATCTAACTGAAGGCCAGAATAAAAATATGCATGACTGCTGCAAGTGTGAAAAACTAATGAATTGGGTGCATGAATGCATTAATAAATGCACAAAATGTGAAACACAATGTAAATGGAAATTAAGTTATGTATCGAATTTTATGCTTGCATGCACTTACCAGATTGTTTACCATTTGTTGTGGGTATTGTGTGGTGGAATACCAGCTGATCCATCCTGGGCTCTACCATTGTTTTTATGTGAATGTGTTTTTGTTGTGGCAGTTTTCTCAACAATATATTCTTGCTGTGAGAATGAAAAACTCCTAGGTCACCCACTGTTCAGTGTATTTGCTGCATGCGTGGTTATTGTCACGATTGTGCTTTCATTTTATGGATCTAGAGTTGATGAGCAAATAGGAAATGTTTTAGTTATTGCAATTACAGCTGTATTGCTGTGGTTTTATAAGTATTCTAGGGCATTCAATAGGTCACCGTAAAAAAAAGGTCACAGAAGGGATCAGAAGTGGCCCTGAAAACAATATTCATTAAGCCACTATAATTGTACGTTTGCATGGTAGTCATATGTAAATATCTTATCAAAATCTTTTTTAATGTTGTATCTTTAGAGAATAACTTGATAGCTGTTCCTTTACTGATCATGTGTAATCAATTGTGATTTTATTCCTAAAATAAATTCCCTAAGAATCCTTAATATTATCTCATTTGTTCCTACTGGCCCCATGATTAGAAGTTATTAGGGTTCATAGGGCTATAAAGGGGTTGGGAAGGGAGCAGGGGGCAGGATCATAAAGAATGGATGAGCCTGCATTTAAGTTATCGGTAAGCACTCTTCCTGTGGTATAATTACGTCATGATCCCTTGCCCTGTGGGATACAGACAGGTAATCCATATTTTGCTAAGAGGGAACATATGCTTAGCCTGATTTTCAGACAGGCCAGAGTCCTAAGCTTCACTCCACCCTGAATTGAAGCATAGGAACCAGGCCTCGTCTGAAATTCAGGCTAGCATACCGGTATGCTTTTATTGCCCTGTTTTCAAGATTAGGAGTTGTCATATGTATTCCATATGTGGTATTAGCTAACAAGCATATAGCTGTCCCTAACAAGTGAATAGAAGCACCTAACAAGTGGCCCCTAAGGAATTCCAATTTACTAATGGTTATACTTTAGCAATACTTTAAATGTCACAAAAAAATTGTTGTTTAGCAGTGTAATCCCTTGTGGTCAAGTCTGAGTAAGGTGATTTACGGCTTGTAGCTCTTAAGTCAAAGGGTTAGGTTTAGGGGAAAGGACGGGTCAGGCTATATAATGTTTTAATTTAAAAATTCTGATTTCATAATAATTTCTAAGTTAAAAGTTCATTATGAGAAAATTTTTAATTATAAGTGCTAAAAAGTTCGAATAAGTACTAGATAAAATGATGTGAGAAAAGTATACGAGTGAAAAAACGTATGGACTCCTGTTATATATGTGCTTCTATTCGCTAATGTAGGGACGGAATATTTTAATGTGCCAATAATGGAATACGTACTTACAAACCCGCCTATTGTTCCATGTTTTTGTGTTAAACGGAATTTATAAAAATACAACAAAATGCATAATAAATTTTAGCATGCAAGGGGTGAGCTGCCTGCGGCAGGATCAGCTTCAATTTGTGACAACTGAATTTAACTAGGAGCATATCAGGTGGTCATGACAAGAATTCCTACCAACTGTGTTTTGTGGTCCCTTTTAGGGTATACGGCGACCCTAAGCAGTCATAAAATGGCAATGTCGTCATAAACTCAATATGAGCCAATGGTGTTTGATGATTGTGTAAAAACACAAATAAAATTGGTAAACCAAAACAAAATTATCTGTTATTGATTGGTCCCCTTTAGGGTTGAAGTGTCAGCACTGCCACGCCCATCAGTTCACAATAGAGGTCCCTTTTAGGGGTCATTTTCATAATCTCCGCCGAGGACCCGCCCTTTGATATTAGGGAGTCCCCCCCCCGGGATATTATGAAAGTGTACGAAACATGAGCAGCTCATTCTTTTCTTGTTTCAAGACAATAGTTTGGCACAGAGTTTGGCAACACGCAAAAGGAACAGGATCTTCAATATTACCACAGGTCAATCCACAAATACCAAGCTCACATGAACCCAGTACTTGCGTCGTCACACAATTTTTAAACTCACACGGACAATGTCAGTGGGAATGGCATTGCGTGACAACACAGGGGCGGCTGCTATAGCTACCCATGACTAATCAAGCAAGATAATAATCAAGGTGGTTATTTCATCGTTTTCAAGATTTTTAATTTATATTATTTAATGTATTTATAAATTGATGATAAAAATTAAGATGAAAACACAGAAATAATTGCTTAACAAATTGTGTAGGAAATCGGCTAGATGCTTATCTAGGTATCTTTAGGTATCTTAAGGATCCCTGTGGAACAGAAGTAGCAAAGGCCCTGAGAACGAGGAAATGCCCTTAGATTCTTCGTTTTACTCGTAAAGTTTAGTATCCTCAAACAAAGTCTAAGTCTTTTAAAGGTAAGTCGCCATTATCTTCACAGGACAGTCAGTTCTTAGGATACAACGCGTTGAAAATTGTCTTTCGAAAAGTCGTTATTTTCACTGGTTATAAAAAGCGCGCAATACCAAGCTAAAAGATCAGCTATTAAGTTACTTATTGGAACGGACGTCATTGGAACGTAAAAAAGATTCTAATTTTACGACACAATTTGCTTTCATAATAATTATATAACAAAATATTACGCGATTAGAATATACTCAAACGAGTGAGAGATTTTCAACAGGGGAAAATATAATTCGTATCTCCAAGCGACCATGTGAAATATCAAAATAAGTTTAAGCTTACATATCTGTACTATTTAGCTCGTACGATTTGGCTCGATACACCGAACTTTACGACCTAAAACAATGTCCTACATATGCTTTTACACAACTGAATGTTTTAAAATAACAAATGGGTTCGATTCTCAAAGAATTTTTTAATGAAAGTTATAGACACGACGAAACAAAACCTCTCAACACCCGGACCGATAGTCTCCTTCATGGTTCCCTGGCGCCATCTTGAAAGGTAGCCATGCTTTTACATCGAAGCCAGACGACCGTTGAGCGTGCAATACTTGCAATGACAGATACCTACAATCATGGACAATATACCTTTGGACACGATCAACTGTTAACTGTACTAAACACACATTCTTAGTATTCGTCTGACAACAATGTTGTAAATATATTCAGAAGATGTCTCTCAGCAATCACCCCATAAATTTTCTTTTACCAAAATCTTCAACTTGTGAACATAACTATAATCTGCGGTCCGGCAGTAAAACTAGAACCATAATGTATGCCGATAAGACTGGTTGCCAGACCCAGCGTTCTAGCTCATTTATCACCTTTAATAGCAGATACATGTAAATACAGCCTTTTGCACAAATTATG